AAGTTTGATCATTTCAGGGAGTTAAAATCAGAAGTTTGCTCACTTCAGGGAGTTAAAATCAGGAGTTTGATCACTTCAGGGAGTTAAAATCACAAGTTTGATCATTTCATGGAGTTAAAATAAGCAGTTTGATAATTTCAGGGAGTTAAAATCAGAAGTGTGATAATTTCAGGGAGTTAAAATCAGAAGTTTAATGTTCTTTATGTTTGAAATCATGAGATATTCATGTTAACTTCATGACTTTAACGACTAACCTGAATAAAAAAGTGACATTTCCGTATTTTATTCAGCATTCTTTTCGCAGATGTTAAAGGCTTCACAAACCTCTCCACCACGCTTTCTGCGCAGGAGCTGGTTCGAATGTTGAATGAACTCTTTGCACGCTTCGACCGCCTCGCACACGTAAGTGCACGTGACGTGTGTCTCTTCGTAGACGTGCTTCTGATCCAGCCTTGACGTTTGTCCCGAGGCTTGACGTATCTGTTTGGTTTGAACACAGACGTTAAAGAAGTTATGTTCTTGGGTTTTACCCCCCGGGCTACATGAGCTGCACTTTCTTGACCCGTAGAAGCAGAACTGGATCTAAACAGAATTAAGTTTTTTTATTTTTTACTCTGATCTGCTTCAGACTTTTCACTGCCAGAACTCAGACCCTCAAAACGTTTGTTTCTGTTTCATTCAGATAATATGAATAGATGTCTCTCAGACAGTCTCACCTGGACCTCCATCATGAAGGTTCTGGTAGAACTCGGGCTGACTTTGTTTAAATCAACTGGTTTCCTGAAAATGGACCCGGCTGTTAGTCAGAGCTCACAAATCTTTCAGTGGGGCGAGCTCATGGCTTTTAGCTTTTAGCTGCTAGCTTGGTTTATCCAATCAGAAACCAGTTCTGGTGTTTGGGATCGTGGTCCTGTTGGACCCAACGGTGTCCAAGTTCCAACTGTCCAGCTGTTGGTTTGAGGTGAAGGACTCCACGAGTCCATCCACGTTGTGCCGCAGCATGATGCTCCCACCACCATGCTCGATGCACCGTGTTCCAGCTGTCCTTGGTCTTTGTCTCGTCTGACCAAGAGACGTTCCTCTTTTGTCTCGTCCATGTGGACAGTTGAAAGTTTCAGTCCAGCTTTAAGGAGCAGGAGCTTTTTTGTCCTCTCAGTCCACAGTGATGGAAACTGTCCTCACTGTGGACAGGGACATTGTAGATTGTGGGTCGGTTTAAAGAGGACTGTCAATTGAGCCCTAAAACTACCAGCTGCAATCAATCATGGTCACTAACAGGAAGTAAACTTGTCTGGACCTTCAGACCCTTCAGAACCTCTGTCTGAAGGTTGGTCAGACCAGTGATGGAGGACAGAAGCTGCTGACTGCAGCTGGACTGGTTTGATCAGCATTACGTCCATCAGAGGGGACGGCACGTCTCTGTTGGACAGTCCAGGTATGACTGAAGGAGGTGCAGACTGAAAGGTGCAGCAGAGAGCAGGATGGGGGTCTGCTGAAACCAGAAACTTTACCTGTTAATCCACTGAGAGCTAAAAGCAGTTGAATAATATCTTGACAATCAGTGCGAGGTTTTATGATTTGTGGCTGATGAAGCTCATCCCTTTAGTTTTAGTGTTTTTCATTTCATTCCTGTTTTCTGCTCTGAGGCTGATCATTGTTCAGAGTGACACGTGTTTGTGTTGCTTTTCTCTTCCAGGAGCACCACTGCCTACGAATAAAGATCCTGGGAGACTGTTACTACTGCGTGTCCGGTCTACCTGAGCCCAGACCGGACCACGCTCACTGCTGCGTGGAGATGGGACTGAGCATGCTCAAAACCATCAGGTGCGCTTCTTTCTCCTTCTACCGCTTCCTCCGAGGAGAGCAGCTGAAACGTGTCACCCTGCAGCTGTTTTTCACACAGAGGTTTTATTTGTCTCAGTTTTCACAGCTCTCTGTGCTCTCAGAGGTTCTGGTTCTGCCTGTCAGCTGGTTGTGTAACAGTGATGGTTCTGACTCAGACCTGAACCTGCAGACAGGAGCGCAGCAAGTGGAGGGAAATCTTTAGACATACCATGAGGAATACTTCCTGTAAAATGTCAAAATAACTTTATGATTCCTGGACATTTCCAAACCTCCGCTGGTATGTCATCAGGTCCTACTGCCCTCTTCTTCTTCTTCATCTTCTCAGAGCTTTCTGGACTTGACCCTCACTGATCTTTCCCACTTCCTGGTCCACAGTTTCTATGGCCTCTACTCATCTTTATCTTTCATTCTCTTCATCCATTAGCTCCTCAAAGTACTCCTTCCATATTCCTGTCACACTCTCCTCACTTGTTAGAACATTAAAATTCCTATCTTTAACAAGCCTAACCTGCTGCACATCCTTTCCAGCCTGATCTGTCTCGCCAATCGGTACAAGTCCTTCTCACCATCTTTAGTGTCCAGTCTCCCACACTGCTCATCATACGCCTTCTGCTTTGCCTTAGCTACCTCCCTCTTTGCTCTGCATTGCATCTCCTGATATTCCTGACACTTTGTGGTCATTTAGCTCTGGTGGCCATCTTGAATTGGACTGACTACAAAGGTTAATCAGTTGGGTGCTTTTTAATCTTTTTAGCTTGATTCTGTCAAGCTGAAAGCAGCAGGACCAACCATAAATGTTAACTTCCTGTTTGTACCGTGCCCCGCCCCCCACCACCACCATCACACTAAACCCTGAGTGTTGTTTCCAGGAGCAAACAGTTCCACTACCTGGTTGTTGTTGTGGGGTGTTCTGCTCCTGCTGGTCTCGTTTTGACGTGAACGGTTCTGACGGCGCCAGCAGCAGGTGTCGGCTTCAGCTCGAGGCCCGTTAGAAATAAAACGCTGCTGAAGTGTACAGAAACGCTGAGCCGCTCTCAGTGTGGGAACCAGCGTGTGTTTAGTTCTGCTTGTTGTAGTCACTGGTCCAGTCTGCTGCTGTTGGACCACAGGAAGCGGTTCTGTTTGTTTCTGAAGACCATCAGTAACATCCATCAGAACAGTGAGACGATGAATTCTGTATTTTTGTGCTCATACATTTGAGAAAACCCAGAAAAGAGAACTCTTTATTAAGACTGATTTACATTCTGCAAGATGTGTCAAAAAATTTATTCTCAGTGTTGACGCTGCAAACAAAAAAAACACGTTTTTGTTCTTGCTCCGCCTCCAAGAACTGTTCTGTGCATGAGTTCCTGGCAGAACCTTGTTCTCACAGGGGTCTGCACCAAGTGTTGAGTGACTGGTCAGAAGTTGGTGGAAGAGTTTGTGCAGAAACGTGAAGTACGCAGCGTTTCACCTCAAAAGCAGCCATCTTTACAACTGTTCTAACAAAACAGAAGAACTTGTGGAAGGAGACGGTGCGGAGACACAAGTGGCTCTCTGTGCGCGCGCTGTCCAGGAGAGGTGTGTCTTCCCTGGACGGCGTATGGACACATTCCCGCTGTTGGAAACAGCAGCAGTCTCTTTGTGACAAATCTACAAATTAGCGCTTCTCCTCATTAAAGAACAGAAACACCAGACTTTCCTCCTCCAACTTCTCATCCATCCATCCTCAACTGAAAATAAACATCCACTCTGTGCTGTGTGTGTTGTTCTGGCTGGGTGTGACGTCTGCTGCAGTGGGAGGAGCTTAACGGGAGCTTTATTTGAAAACAGAGGTGTCCAATCCTGTTCTGCATGTTTTAGATGTTCCTCTGCTCCAGCACACCTGATTTAAATCAACAGATGATTAAAAGACTTCTGCAGAACATGAAGAGGCGATTCAACCATTGAATCAGGTGTTGGAGCAGGAAACAGGTGAAACCTGCAGGACAGGGGCCCTTGAGGGCCAGGAGTGGACACCCCGGTATGAAATGTCCACACAGAACAAACGTCTCACAACCACGTTAATGAGGAGACGGGTTTTATGTTTGTCCAAACACGCAGCAAGCTTCAGTTCCTGTTTACACGTGAACCATCTCTGACTGTGGCAAATAAACAAACAAACACGTTCACACGGCAACACCGTGCACGTTGAATCCACTGTAGTTCCCATGCCAGGTCACTATGTGGCGCTGTGGACTTTATATTTGAACAACATGGACAGATACTTCAGCATGAAACCAGTTAGATCCATGAACGTTGGTTTGGACCAAGGATGGGGTTGGTTTGCTCCTAAACGTTGTAATGGGTGATCAGCACAAACAGCACTCTTCCATCCATCACTGTAACTCAGGTTCATCTGCTTGTGCAGTAAAACTACTGACTGTGGTGCGCACGTTCAATTTCTCTCTGGTGTTTATAAAAACCTCAACTCTGAGCTGGTAAAATAAAAACTGACTGGAGACCTGCCGTTTCCCACATGTTGTCCTGACAATGCTTCACCGACTCTGAGTCTGTGTTCCCGAGGCCTCCGGAGGTTTTATGTCAATAATCGTCTTTACTGCTGCGGGCTCTGACCCTCGCTCCTCTTTAGAGCCACTCTGAGGGAGGAGAGGGGAACTTTGGAGGGATTAGTGATGGATAAGCTGTGAGATCTGAGCTGTATGATGTTGAGTCAATATGACAGTGGCTCAACAGGCATCCGCTTCGTGTTCAGCGTTCCTCCTGGAAGAACGTTCTCTCAGGAGGAACCCGAAGAATGGACACAGCGTTTCTGCAGGAAGCCCCTCCCACTGGCTGCTGCTCGTTTCTGCAG